AAGGTCGACTCCAGGCGGAATGAATGGTCGACCGGAAGAGACTTCCAGAAGAACGTTTAAATCTATTTTGTTGCCAGCGTCTGAGCAGGACAGGATTCGGTCCAGAGGTAACCATCAGACGAAGTGTACGAACCAGAACGTTAAAGCCAACGGTGAATGCAATGGAGTTATCGATGGAGGAGGAAGGGTATTCGACAAAGCGAATGGTCCAACAAGTCCTGGATACCCATTAGCCTCCATCCCTCTAACCGGCTTGAATGACAGTTCCCGAGACGACAATGGTCTTCAGAGAAGTAGAGTCCCGTCTGATGGTCGATATTCCACCAAAAGATGGCATCAGGTTACTGGACAGCAGGACCGTAGTCAGCAGGGACACAAAATGGCAGCAGGAGCGACGATTACGGAGATGCTGCAACTGGAAGTAATCCCTGAGCACCTCTCGACCGACAACAAAAATCAGGATGCTGAAAAGCCTCAGAAAAAGCCACGTACTCATCAGCATTGCCATCGACATCAGCACAACCCCCGCCATCACCATGACTCCAACCAACACCACTGCCGACGCTGTCAACGCCGGCATCAACATCATCATCAGTATCGCAGCCACAAGCAGTCCAGTCAGCACACTGCTCGAAGTAAACAACAAATTGCGGAGAATCATCGACATGACAGAAGAGATAACCACGACAAGCAGCAGAGGGAGAACAAGGTGGGACTTGAGCTTAATTATAACTTGTGTTTTCCTCAGAGTTCTTGAAATTTCTTTAAGACCGGTTTCGGTGGATCTGCTGAAAGTATTTCGCTGACCTTTATTTCTTGTGGATGTTCCCAATGAAGATGGCCTAAGCTCGAGCTCACCGGTAGCCGGAGGCGTATTTCTGTTGCACCAAGGTTTTTTGGTACTATTGTTGAGCTCAGATTGACCCAATCCACCAGATACTCTCCTTCGTTACGGGTAAAAATGGTCTAATTACTTTATTCGTAATGAGTAGTTGATCGAGAATATCAGAAGATATTTAATAAGAACTGTAGTCA